TATCACCCAATCGTCTGCGCTGCCTGGGCTAAAAGAAAAGTTGGTGTTCTTACACAGCATGTATTTACAGGATCTGTAAATGGGAAAAAAATGAAGAAGCTTGGACCAAGTCACACATTTTTTTCAGCCAATCAGCAATGGAGAGCATTCGTGCTTGTCAGGAAAATTAAGATTGAAGATAGACAGTAATCTTGTTTATCTTCATATCAATGCATCTGAAATAAGTAGTTGTGATTTTGTGTCTTTGATTTTTTGTATTTAAAGAATGGTTGAATTCTAATCTAGCAGTTTTCAAATATCCATATTGCTGAACTTATTCTAAAAATATTCATTATATTATATGTATTATGTATACATTGATTGTAATTATCTATCAGATTTTATAAATTGTATATTTTTCAATAATCAGTTTTACCAGTTCTCTCTTAAATCAGTGAGTTAATCTCAAACCTATATGAAAAACTATTAATAAAGTTTCATCTCACTTATAATGTTTTACTAATCATTGTATTGTTTGTACCTGACAATATGTTGCCTTATTGGTTTTCCCTTCTTGTCACACTGGCTTTTATAACACTTTGTTAATCTGTTTTTCATTTTTGATTCATTACTAATAATATTGTGCCTACACCTAAAAACTATTCACTGACGGGCAACCAAGAAAGTATGGATTAGAGGAAATTAGTCTACAATATTTATTTTAAACAGGCATAACGCCACATAACGTAGAAAATAACCTAGAGAGAGAAATAGAAAGGCTAAGAACTATTGAAGCCATCCATTTGTGTTAAGAACAATTAGTAAAGGACGACAAAGCCCATGAATGTATAAAGTACAGTTTTTACAATTTTAATTGTATTTCTTGCTGCCGCTTTACTTCTTGACTACTATATATTTCCATTTACTTTTTTAATGCTGAGAATTATTTTTTACATGGATGTGTATTTAGCAAGTAATTCATCATTTGTCCTGTGGAGGGGGAGTAACGCACCCTATGGCGTAAAAACTGCAAAGAAATTAAAACCGAAGAAGTCTTCAGCGGAACCTAGTTCTTCCTCGCCTTTAGATTCAAGTCGGCATGTAAACAGTGATGCACACCATCAACATGTCCATTGCAGAAAGGTCCTTTGTAGCCAGTCATTTCAAATAATTTAAAAAACGAAAGCCAGGCGTGGTGATATTTAGAGCAACAGCAGCCATGAGACTGTACCAGGCTCTCTGTAATGTCGGGAGCTTCAGGACCTCTTTCGACTTTGGTGCACGGGAAGTAGCTCACTGGTTCCCGGGACACATGGCTAAAGGTGACAGCCTCAACAAATTACTCCAGAGTATATAAAATAATCTATGCATTTGAAATGGGTGTGTTACAATGTGTGAATCTGTGTAATAGCTTCACCTCACCGTTTACAGGACTGAAGCAGATGAGAGCCAACCTCAAGAATGTGGACTGCATCATAGAAATACATGATGCCAGAATATCCTTTATTGTATCAACGCCAGGATACCACAGGGCAAAGTGCAAAGTTTTTCTTTTTTTTAAATAAAATAAGGTTAAACACATTCAACAATAAATTAAACAATTGAAGTTAGTAAAAAAAACGATCATACCTAAATAAAATCAAGAGAATTACAACTCATATCTTTATAGCGTGATCAGATAAATGACTGTGAGCCAAGACTGAAATTATTAATTAATCTCTTTGGAGCACATTTCTGAAAGTAGGGTTTTAAAGATAAAACTGTTAAAGGTGCCATAACCATCACATGAACATTATTGCAGAGTATAGGAGCCTTTGTCTTTACACTTTCTGAAAATCCCAGCGTTTGACCTCTTTTTACTGCAGAGTTTAAACAAATTGGATTTTTCCTTAATATTACCGACATCCCCTTCTCTGGGAGAAACCCAGCGTTTCAGGAGACTCTAGATGTCAAACCCCATGTGCTAATTCTCAACAAGATGGACCTTGCCGATGTGTCCAATGAGCAGGTGAAATGTCTTACTGCTATCTTTACAGAGTCATCATCATTTTAAAGTTTTCTAACAAACAACATTTGCCCTGCAGATAATCCTGAAGAAGCTTAAAAGAAACGGGGTGAAAAATGTTCTCTTCACAGACTGTTTAAAGCAGCGAGACGACAACGTCAAAAAGGTAGATGTCATCTCCACTGGATACCAGACAGCTGTCTTTTTGCAGATTTTTGTCATAAGCCGATATTCAATAAGCATGAAACGTATTCCTATTTTGTGTTCCTGAAGTTGGTGCCAATGGTGGTTGACATTATTGAGAGCAATCCACGTTTTAACAGAGATGAGGTATGTGTCCCATGAAGCTTAATTATACTTTGTGTTCATTTTAGGTATGAGAGAAATAAACTGCAAGATACAAGACTTTTAACTAATAAGTAATACCCTCACAGATTTGATCCTTGCTAACCAAAACACTGTTTTCATTGTGACTCACACACAACATTTATTAACAATGTATGTGTTGGCCATGCTCTAACCTTGTCATGTAAATCTTTCAGAATACAAATTATTGTCTGATGGCTATTGGAGTCCCCAACGTGGGGAAGTCATCTCTTATTAACTCACTGAGAAGAACATACTTGAAAAAAGGTTTGTATAATACATTTGCTGATTTTTATTGAGGTTCAATTCAGGATAATCATAACCTTCTTTAAAAAAACAAACAATTGTAATACATTTCAGGTCGTGCATCTCGAGTAGGTGGGGAGCCAGGTATAACTAGAGCGGTCCTGACTAGAATTCAGGTGAGTGTAGAGGACATGTAAAACACTGATTTCATGGGTTCATTGTGTGTATGCATCTGTACAATATTTGTTTCTATATTTGACCTCAGGTGTGTGAGCGACCCGTAATACACCTGTTGGACACACCAGGAGTCCTGCCTCCTAAGATTGAGAGTGTTGAAACCGGCATGAAGCTGGCTTTATGTGGTGAGCAGCACATGATTATTATTGTTTCCCACAACATACCAATATAATAGTATTCATTGGAATCAACAAAATCACATTTGTTGGTAAAGGAGGTTTTTAATTGTGCTCAACAAATATTTTAATATTTTTTCTTTCTACACCAGGAACTATTCTGGACCATTTAGTAGGTGAAGAGATCATTGCTGACTACTTACTCTATTCTCTAAACAGGCTCGGGGAGTTCAGGTAGGATTGACAACACTTTTGTGTGGTGTGTGTTAGGGATGCATATCGTTGACTTTTTTACGATACCGATACCACTGAACGATACCGATACATATCGTGATACTTTGAAAATGTATCATCCCACAATTACTCCCATGAAGCGCTTTAAGATATAGTTAACATGTCAAATGAATATTAAATTAAATTGTGGGACTTCTTGGACCTTTTAGTACTGAACAAACAATGAAAAATACATTAAAAATATGAAGAAAACCGATTATGGAATATCTTTTATAACACCCGCCATCAGGTGTGCCGCGTGAATAGCACATCTTGTCAATGCAAACAGACCGTTATAGCACCGTTATAATTAATGTTAAACCTGAGATTCGACTAGAGAACAAATACATAATAGAATAATGGTCATGAGATCTCGGCATTGCACAAACAAACAAATCTCATCTTTAAAATCAACATTTGCCTTTACTGGTGAGAGAAAACAAATCCCATCACAGTTCATTTGTGGGACTTTTACCTTTCTAGTATTGAACAAACAATGAAAAATACATAAAATATGAAGAAAAACGATTATGCAATCTAATTTATAACACCCGCCATCACGGGCCACGGACTCACTTTTAAAATTAATTTAAAAAAAAAAAATAATAATAATAATTAAAAAAAATTAAAGTATCGAAACCGGATCTGATTTCGGTACGGTATACCGTAGCCACCAGTAACCGGTATTTTGGTAATACCGGTATGCATCCCTAGTGTGTGTATTACTTTGTCTTCACATTGCTGTGATTGTTTACTTCACATATGTATTTATGTGCAGTTATGTGGAGAAATACGGTCTCCAGGAGCCAAACGATGACATCCAGTATGTCCTCAAACGCATTGCTGTGAAACTCGGAAAGACGCAACGGGTCAAAGCCATTACTGGAGTTGGTAAGAAAATGCAAATTCAACTCCTGCTACACACAGTATTATTGACTAGCGATCTCTTAGTTAAGTTAAACATAGGAATAGTACAATGTTTTGCCTTATTATATTTCCTGACATGAGTTTGAAGGTGTTATGGCCATCATTTTAATGTATTATTAGACCCATAATACAAATGTTTATTCCTTGTCTCTCTCAGGGGATATCACCATCAGGGTCCCAAACTGCTCAGCAGCAGCTTACGATTTAATCAGAGCCTTCAGGAAAGGAGAGCTGGGACAGGTAATGCTCGACTGACCTGAGACATTGGAATGAAGACAGAGACTGTTTCTGGTTTCATACGTTTTCCCTCAGTCTGGAAGGATTTATATTTAACCAAAAAGTGTCGTCAAGGTCCGTCTCTGTCCTCATGCCTTTGACCTTTTGGGGACATGATGCAGTCTGTTCTGTTTATAGATGATGTATCAAAGCACTGTGTCCTTTGCAAATAAAATAATTGATCTTAATTCAGGTACATTTCTTCTTTTATAAGACATGAAGCAGATATCTGATCTGACAAGGTGTAAACATTATATTTATTAGCACAAAGACAGTAATAACAAACTCTCAATATGTACATAAGTGTTGTAATAAAGTTCATTTATATGGAACAGTCTGTTGCTCCTGAGTGTCTCCTGTAGGTAAAAAAAAATCTTCTTGGATGAAGGACGGATCATGAGAGAAATTAATAACAGTGAGGGCAGCAGTTTTTTTTTCTCCCAGCCATGGCTGAGAAATTCATTAGCTACATTTCAGTTGTTATAAAAGGGTATAAATTGTTCAGAAATTCAAGATGATTGATGAAAACGCAGTTAATACTCTAATTTGCCTTGTCTTGTTGTAGAGAATCCTCTTCATGGCTCCATTGAAAGCAGTCTTGCAAGTGGCAGTTGTTTCGATTTCAGGGGCAGAAAAACGTCAGATAGTCCAAGCTTTATGTTTAGACCCAGGTCTGGTCATAAATATGATTTAGTTGTACTAAACAGCGATGCTGTGGTTTTTTAACTTTACATTTATTTTTTGCATATTATGAAAACAGATTTTAAATTAAGATTGACAGTACTATTTAATGTGGCAGCCGACAGTTTGATAACAGTCCTTATCAAGGTGTTTCTATTTTTGATAATCCTGATAAAACATTTTCACAATAGGGTCTAGGAATCAAGCTTTAGGGAAGGAAACTAGTTATTTATTAAAGTTCTGTGTCATTTTATGTCCAACACTGACTTGACAAAGGTGCACTACTTTAAAGGTGAAAGGTCACATTGAATACTGGTTGATTACATTTGTTTGTTGGTAGCCTAGAAGATGACAATACAAAATATACAGTACTATTGATGTTTTTGTGTCCATCCACCACTGTGTTGCACCTCTAATGTTCCCAGTGCAGCTTCCTGTCATTCCTGCATATTATATTCAGATCCAGGGTAGAATCAGGAATTAATCATAAAAAACAAGCTAAACATCTACAGTATACTGTCTTGAAAGAATCCATATTTTTGGGAAAATGTTGCAATAATGATAGAAACCAGTTGAGGAAGAGAATATCCATTTTTTGTTGAGCCTGACATTTGTGAATCAAAGTAATTGGTCCTGTTGTAGTAATCCACGTCCTCGGAGCTGTCTGCGTTGCTGCGTCTGTAGGCAGAGGCATACCATTTATCCGCTGATAGCGCCACCGCCACCGCCGCCCCTGCTGCCGCTGCAGCTGCGACCCTCACCGGGGAGGACCGGCCCGCAGCCCGGACGCGGGAGCGGGTCCCTCCGTAGGGCCCGGACCCCCGCCGACTCCCCGCCGAGGAGCTCCGGGAGTGGGTGCCTCGAGAGGAGCCACGGGACCCTCCACGTCCCCCTTTGGACAGCACCGGCTCACACAGGAAAGCAGCGAGCAGGAGGCAAGTCCAACATGTTGCAACCACCCGGTTCATCCCCGACATCTGCAGGAAGAAGACATAATGGAGAAATGTAAGACCTGTGGTGGTTAGAATACACATTTGAAGTTTAAAATGGGGAAATAACCCATGTTTTATGTTGCTGCAAAACATAGGCTAAATATCTGATTTGAGTTGGCATACATTTTAGCAAACAGCCATCCTTTCTTTTTCACTGATCAATTCTGTATACAACTCAGAATATAATGAGTGACATTCTCTGAACATGGCTGTAGAACAAGGATAGGCCTACACTGCTCATCATCAAAGGTGTGAGATCATGTATTCAGTGTCTCCATAAAAAAAACTGCAGTTGCCCCTCTTCGTTTAAGTAGGTCAGGTTAAAAATAATTATTTTCACCAGAGAATTGCTGTTGCTGCTTCATGAGTTAACATTCCGCTATGAATGATTATGAAATAGACAAAAGATGTTAGGCTATATTGCTGTCATTAAAAGGCATATGACATTTAGTCAGAATGTTTTGTTCTAACAGGGAACTATAGAAATGTAGGACGTATGATCATTATTATACGTACGATTTCAACAAAATGATTTGATACACGATTTGAAATGCTTGATGTTCATCTCATTCTATTCTCATAAATTAGCCTGTTCGTTACCCTAAATACCCGAATCACACCACCATTTCAAAAGAAATGCATTGCATCCATATGGTCTAATTGTCTAAAGTACGTTAACCAGTATACGGTATACCATAGGCCAACAGGTTGACATAACGGCTGGAGCTTACCTTTTCTCCCTGTTGTTTTATCCTTGCTTGGGTCTTTGTACTCGGAGGAAAATATGAGAGGGGATTGTCACGGACGATGCAGGCTCGTTCACGTAAGGAGAACGAGCATCTCGCGTGAATATTGAATGTGTTTTGCATTGAATATTATGGGATATTGAAAAAAACACAAAGCAAAAATGGTAAAAACAATTCTGAAAATCAATAAGTCTATACATATTTATTTGAATTATGATATACGTGCTTTGTCCTTTATTGTAGGCTATTGTTTTATATTAATCCTCCCCCCTTTTGTATGCTTTTTTAAACTTCTATATGTATAATGTTTATTTGTACTGCATGATATAACATAGACAACAAATACAATTTTGTTTTGTTTAGCTGAGATAATTGATTTGAAGGTAATTACATCTTGTTCTACACTTTGTAGACTCTGGGTGGCAGTACTACTCCAAGGAACATACGACTTCAGGAAAAACACCAACGAAGAAGAGAAGGTGGGCGGAAAGAGCTTCCCGTGTTATTGGAGCAAGTTCATTGACAACATTCCTCCATCGTGCAGTCGCTGTCATGGCTTTCCTCTGCAGAAGTGCTGCCTCCCTCCTGAAGCCCTCCCGAGCAGCGCCGGTTGTTCTGTCCGCTGCCCGCCTCTACAGCTCAGGTGTGTGTTCAAACACTGTCAAAGTGTCTATTGCACCTGCATAACTGTTACGTGAAGTGGCCCTGCTACAATGTCAAGAAACCTGCGTCACCGAATGTGCGACACATGGAGCAGACTGGATCCCTAAGTTGGTTATTTAGTTGTCTGTGTTTTCTGTCATTTGCACCACAAAGAGATCTCTAAACTTGAATGGATCAGATCATTTCTAACATGTTGTTCACACGAAAACCCTTGCCTTTAAAGGGGAATTACACCCTAAAATTGAATTTATAGTTGTTATGTCTATAACTTTGTGCAGCCCAGATATCATTTATGATGTGTTCTTGTTTGATGTGATGATTTTCGACACTACAAATTCAAAAGAGTAACGTGTTGTAGTAAAAACACTTGTTCCAATAAGGTCCCAAAAGACACAACACAAAGCTGAATCATATGCAAAAATACAATATAACATCACTATGCATCAAAGAAAAACTCCCACATTAAAGTATACTTAAGATGATTAGGACGTAACAAATACTGAGTGCACATCGCAGTGAATATTTATATTCAGAGACAAATCCTGCAGTGGCTAAATAACAATGTGACAGCTGTCAGGGGGATTTTACGGAGTTGGGGGTCAGACATGAAGTGACCCTCTGTTGAACATGAACAGGATGGGTGTCACTCTGCAGGCCGTAGAGATGCTGTTTTGCTTTCTTGGTCAGCGAGGTTTAGTGTGTCCTCCTGAAGTGATCAGCAATCTGTACACCAGGAAACATGTGGCTCTTCACCTTCTCCACACAGGAGTCGTTGATGTGAAGACGGGTATTTGCAGCATACCTCCATTAAACCCTGGAATATAATTATGCACAGATGATCAAACATTCGAATGGCTGTTTGATTTTCATTTGTATACATCTTCCATCTTTATCTATCTATGCGTGACTTACTGTATATCAATGTGCAGGCAACAATCCATGACTTTAGTTTGGACCTTTGTTCCACAAGGCATATCAGGGGCTTCCAAGGTCGCTATAAAACCATGAGCCAATGAGTTGATCCTTCACCTTTTCTAGAATGATTAACCAGGACACAGAGCACGTTGGTGATGATCATGTAGTCTATGCTGCTCCTAGTTATAGAGGTTTATAAAAACACATTATCCTTTTTAACATTTAGATGTTGTAAATGTATTCTCTTCCTAACGTATACACACAACACAGGTTTCCTCCATTTTCTCCCCCATTAACTGTGGGGTTTCTTTGGGAGATTTTTTTTAAGGACAGAGAGTGTCGTTTTCTGTACAAGCTGTAAAGCCTCTGAGACAAATGTAAAATGTGTGATATAGGGCTATTTAAATACACATCAACCGATTGATTGATAGTTAAAGCTATCGTTTAGATGTTTGGAAATAGGATAACATGAGGTCATCCACTGTCATACCTACAGATGATGGTGGTCTGCATGTCCCCTCGTCATTATAACTAACACAGAAGGTACAAAGTCATACGGTAACATAAACAAACTAATCGTGGCAGCCGCGGCCCAGAAACCTCAGTGTTCAGCAAGTTACCGTTTCACTCAATGCAGGGAGGTTTCTTTGAGAACAGCTTGGATGGATACAATGGCTTCAGTTCCCCATCAAAAAGGGCATGCTGTTTGAATAGTAATCAAACTTTTGTGTTGCATTGTTGTTATACGTTCAAAATCTAGCTCTGTGAACTCTGCAGAAACTGTTTATCTAATTGCACAGAATTCTTATCTGACCCATGTTGGTTCCCTCTTCATGCAGGTGCTCAGTATGAGTACATTTTGGTGGAAAAGCGCGGGGCGAAGAGTGATGTGGGCTTCATCCAGCTGAACAGGCCCAAGGCCCTCAACGCTCTGTGTGACGGGCTGATGAGGGAGGTGGGACAGGCCCTGGATGTCTTCGAAGCTGACACAGAGGTCGGGGCCATCGTCATCACCGGCAGTGAGAGAGCCTTTGCTGGTGAGGGACCCGAGTGTGTTTTATGGGTTTGCTTACAAGAAGGTATCAGCAGGGAACTAAACGTGCGTGTTTTTCCAGCTGGAGCGGACATTAAAGAGATGCAGAATCGAACTTTCCAGGAGTGTTACGGTGGAAACTTCCTGGCTCACTGGAACAGAGTGTCCACGGTGAAGAAGCCTGTGATTGCTGCCGTCAATGGATTTGCTGTGAGTTTCTTTAATTGTGTTAACTGAGGATAGGTTGTTGGATTTCTTCTGATAAAAGAAAACTATGCAAAGATTCAATTAAAAATGATAATAATACGTTCAAAGAATTAAAAAAGGAGAGAGACTAATCAAAACGGGGAAAGGACAACTGGATTGTAAACATTTATAATAGAAAGTAATGATATGTGTTTTACTATTTCTGCTCCAAGGTTTTCTCCACATGTCTTATCATGTAGTATTCTTATCTTTCAATAGTTAACCTGTTCTTCTAGTCCCCCCTTTCACCTATATTTCCTCTCAAATCTATTTTTCTCCCTCTCTAATCTCCCACTATTTATTGTTTCCTTCCTTCATTGGATCGTTAATTTCAGCTGAGTTTTCTTTCAGTTATACCCCCTTTTTAGAGCAGAATTTATCAGCATGTCTAGATATAATTAACAAAATTCCACTTACTTTGGGACACTTTCATTACCCTAACGAAAAGCAAACCCAAACAACAAAACAGCTTAACAACTTGAGACAAAAAAAGCAGTAGCGTCCACACGCTTTCGGCTCTATAGTGCAACTTATTTTCACAACAAATCCAGTATCATTCCAGGATGCACAGCATTTAAATGGGCTATGACCATAGGCTATAACACAATGAAGAGTGAGTCTACTGTCTGTGGAATTGTTTCTGTGTTTCATAATGTACGTTTCTGTTTCAGCTGGGTGGAGGCTGTGAGCTGGCGATGATGTGTGACATCATTTACGCCGGGGAGAAGGCGCAGTTCGGCCAGCCAGAGATCCTGTTGGGGACCATTCCTGGTAAACACTCTTAAGCATCCACTTTCCTTCCTGTTCAAACTAGACTTCCTTATGCAAAGTTTACCAGATTCTTGCTTTTGGAGTTCATGATGTTCGTCTTCCTGCAGGAGCGGGGGGCACCCAGCGGCTGACGCGTGCGGTGGGAAAATCCCTGGCGATGGAGCTGGTCCTTACAGGAGACAAAATTAATGCAGAAGTCGCCCGGCAATCAGGTAACAGAAATGATGGTATTACACTTGGCAGATGCTATTTGCACCCGGGTGTCCGTAGCCAACAATGCTATTTGCACCCGGGTTACACATTAGATACTGTTTTGGATGCATAGGCATTTATGGAAATGTTTCTTTGATAACTTAATTCCCTTGTGCTGCTGTAGTAGCTTAGCAGTAGGGTGTCAAACCCACACCTGATTGGAGGAAACTTTGGGAACACCAGAAGGATAGGGAAAAACGTTTGGCAGATGCTATTTGCACCCGGGTTTCCGTAGCTAACAATGCTATTTACACCCGGGTTACACATAAGATACTATTTTCATATATTTGTCATACTTAATTCAGTAGCTTGTTGTGTTTCCAGGACTGGTGAGTAAAGTGTATCCTGCCGACCAGTTGGTGTCGGAAGCTGTGAAATGTGGTGAGAAAATTGCTGCCAACTCCAAGCTGGTGTCTGCTATGGCTAAAGAAGCTGTGAACGCAGGTGTGTAAAGTTAATCTTCTAGTCATTTTATTAAATATCCTTAAACCTATTAAATTGAATACGTTAATATTAGGGCTGTCAAACGATTAACATTTTTAATCAGATTAATCACAGTTTAAAAATGAAATAATCATGATTAATCACCATTCGAACTATGTCCAAAATATGTCATTTCTTTATGTATATTCTTGTGGGAATGGAAAGATAAATGAAAGAAGGCGGATATATCCATTTAACATGTTTTATTGTAACATTTTTCTGTGTGTCAAAATGAAAGACAGCCCACACACCTATCAATCATCAAACCGTGGGGTCTTAATTCATTACGTGTTGATTTCTATCAACGGGGGAGTACTTCAGGAAAGTCGACGGGGGGGGCGGGGGGGGGGGGGCTAGTGGAGTACTTTGTGACCAGAGTGTGAACGTTGTGATCAGCTGTTTTAGCGCAGTTCTCCAGTGAAGGGGGGGGAGTCTCCCTCCGCAGCCGGTTGGCGTAGTTTTGGCAAAATTCCGTTGTACAGACCGACGTTAACAGCAGCCCTGTCTGTGCACACGGAGACCGACTCTGTCGTCCGGTGATCTAATCGCCTTCTGGAAAAGCTTCACAAGTACGTCGGTACGCAAATGCGCTTTGTGACACAAGTGACGGTACGCATTTCTGATTACACACATAACCTGCGTACCAGTTATGTGTTACCTGTACTACAGCAAAAGTATCCTCCGTCGGGACTTCCTGCAACAACACCACGCCGTTATCTTGATTCTGATTGGCCAGAAGACATTATCAAAGATGTTATATTGAGAAGACGATCACTACGTGACAAAAGTTTTCAAAACCGTTTCTGGTCTTCGGTATTTCCAGACAAGTGGCTACTGAAATCAATCTTACTAACTGCTGTCTGTGCAATTTACTCCGCGAGTTGGCAGACTTTATTTTGCTTACTTTAGCATCATTTTTCATGGTGGGGCTAAGCCATTTCTTGGTATGGGTGTAGCCTACCCCAGCCATACCCTGGCGCCGACACTGGTGGGATGTATTGGGCGGGCCATTCTGCACATGAGTTAAATGCGTTAAATATTTTAATGCAATTAATTCCAAAAATTAATTACCGCCGTTAACGTGATAATTTTGACAGCATTAATTAATATATTGTCTGACGTGTTCTACTTGTGATTGCAGCTTATGAACTGACTCTGGCTGAGGGTAATCGTTTGGAGAAGCGCTTATTCCACGCTACCTTTGCAACAGTGAGTAGAAGAGCCCATCTGAGAGCGAGTAAAGGGCATTGATTTTGACCGTTCAGTCATGATGTGTGTGTCTGTTTTCCCTTGCAGGAGGATCGTAAAGAAGGCATGACAGCATTTGTGGAGAAGAGAAAGGCCAATTTCCAGGACAATTAGAAAAGAGCAGACCAAGAGCTCGGCCAATAACACAAAGTTCCTGATATCAGCGGATAATTTCCGATCTGCAACAAGCTGAATGGTGCACAAATCCTGCTTGTATTGAAGCATACAAGATGTTTAAATTAGGATTTGGTACTAAGAGTTTGCACCGGAGTGTCTTATCACACTGAAGCTCTATTTGCAAAGTTTGGTATTAAAATCAAAAGCAGTCTGGGTGCAAGACGTGCACTGGCGTTTGAATTTGAATAATACTTTATAACTCTGCCGGAGTGCAATAGGAGGAATCAGTTGTAATGACTTGACTGCCTTTTTATTTTCCCTTTCAAATGTTTGTCTGCATTTTGAAGGCAACACACTTCTCTGTACATTTTACAAATAAATCTCAGTGAGTGAGAAATTAACACAAATGGAAAGATGGGCCTGCTTATAGAGTGCCACAGTGACGCATCCTAAAACCCGGAAGTAAGCTGTGCATGGGTTCCTTCGACAAAAAAGCAATGCAATTTCTCCATAGGATTTTGGAAAATAGCTCGAAATAAGGTCTGTGGTTGACACACATTTAAGAGACGGATCATGTTTTGTTCAGTCGAATAATCTCCACATGTCTACCCTACTTTTATATTTTTTGAATCATAAATCTAATCGATAGATTTATGATTCGAAAATCGAATCAAATCGACTTTATTAACAAACTGTCTAAGACCTTGGGATGTTTCTACATATTATAATGTTAGGTAATGCAGAATGTTTGCATATCATTTACATTGTAACTCATTTTATATTTAACAGTCTTTTTGAGAATTGAGATGTATAATTAGGTAAAAAAGTGTCTGAAACGTAGAAGTAACTTGACTGTAATGACTAGTGGATTCAGTTCACCGAGCGTTCAATCGGTGTGCTCCTCTCACCACCAGAGGGGGCTCTTGAGCGCAGAAATTGGACAGATATAAATCCAGCAGGACTGACACGCATCGGGCTGAAGGCTCGTAGTAGTAAAGTGACAGTTAAAAGGTCATGTCATTAAAATACTATTTCAAAAGATCATAATTATTCAGATGCGGTACTAAAAGAAAGTCGTTTTTTAAATGCAATATGTCTAACACTATTTTACAAAAAAAAAACGTCATCAGAAGGGATAACTGACATGTGATTTCTTTACTTAAAATTATAATAGGCCAAGGTTTTCCACTGCGCAATCAAATAATTAAAAGGCTGGTTGTAAAAACGTTTAATAGTCTTGGGAACAAATGAATAAAGATCTGTTATTAAACTAGCCTATTTAGATGAATTATAATTTACTCTAACAGAAAATATAGCCTATACTGAAAAAAGTAGGCTCCTCATTGTTAATTGTACACGACTTACAGGGCTATATTTTAAATCTCGGGCATCACTATTGGTTGAAACTATTTGGAAACACTTAAAACGATACTTTTGACTTCAAAGAAAAGACCAGAACAAATGTGGTTAGTGTGCGCTTTCTCTCTCCGCTCCAACCATCGCAAGGCACCTTTTTCTCTCTCTGATCTTCACACGGCGGCGCCCCATATCTCCAGAAGGCCATGGCCTAATTGATTTTTATTTTCATTCAATATTCCCCTGGAGCTTGCTTTCTTGTCAGCCCTCTGGAACAAAACTTTTAAAAGGAGGGAAAAAAAACTCGTCTCCTCACTCGGCAGGGAAGCACAAAAGTCCGCAGAGAGGGCCCGAAAAGAAGCTCCTCTTTGAGGCTACCGAAAGGTCAAAATAATAAATGTAGACTCAATTGAAGCTCTCCATACAGACAAAGGGGGCCAAACGTTACATTTTGGCAGCGGAGACCCTCATAGCGTGATAAACTCATTTAAAGAAGCCGAAATAAAGAAGGAGCAGCATGGGTCCGGAGGAGGAGAAAGGGCTTTCAGTCGGGCAGACAGGCCTGGCTCCTGCAGGGCCTGAGTGAAGGCAGCCAAAAAACACTGATATTCTTAAACTACACTCTTTTAGTCACTTTGTTTTAAGTATAATCTTGTTTATATTCGTCTGCAGCCAACCCTTATATAAAAAATATGATTTGATTAGACCTATTATTTAAATAACTCAAAACAAGAAACATCCCAAAACCGATTTAGATTTAAACATACAGCCCTGAAAACAATTAAGAGACCACTGCAGCATTATCAGTTTCTCCGGTTTATGTAGGCTATGTTGAGTAAAATTAATGTTTTTGTATTTTATTCTATAAACTCTTTGACTACATTTCTCTGTGGTGGAATGTCTGCCACATGTGGAGTGGTAATTGTTTTCAGAGCTGAATTTACCTTACAGCTTAAACAAAGCCTTGTTCCTAAGACAAGGATTTGGGTTTTGTTCGTTTCTTATGTTTGAGTTCTTTCAGAACAATTTGCACAAAACACATTTGAAATGCAGAAATGTATGAAACATGTATTATTTGCAGATTTAAACAGGGCATGAAGTGAAGGCCTAGCTACCAACATGTTTGTCCAGCAGCTGTATTGTAAATTCAGTATACAACCACAAGCCTGCAATGCTAGATTCTAAACGCTGTGACTTTTATGAATGTCTTTGTATATGCAGATCTCTTGCTCCTTTCCTTTTTTCACAGAACCAGGATCTGTGGTCAGAGAAAGGATTCCTCAGCATTTTTCTGCCATCCAGCTGAGAGTTTCTCTATAGCTCATGAAACAGGCTGGGTGGAGTGGTTTTCATCTGATAAATATTTTCATTATCTCACATTCTTGGCACCAGAGACCGTGTCAGAATAACACATTTACCGGTGTCTGCTTTAAATTATGCCCACCCAAGGGTGTCAGAAACAACATAGACCAAACCGACTGTGCAGTTTGTCAGAATAATGACATGACCCTATTGTATAGCTTTATATAAATAGGCTTCCACTATATCATTTTCATGGTTTACTACTTTTTAAAACTTTTTTTGTAACATAACCTATGATATTTTTATGTCATACAATACTCTGACTTTTGTACTTTCTTTATGGCATACTGAACAACTACTTTTCATGCCATTTCCTTAGGAGTTATGAACGTTGTATGACCTTCTTAAATACTACACCTTCACTATTTTAATGATATCTTTATGTTAGATGTTACCCTTTTAATAACATACTAAGACTTTCGAATGACTTTTAATGGCATTTTAAACTAAAACTTGTTATGACGAACTATGCAACTTTACTATGCATTTTGATGAGATTCTCCAAAAGGCTACAATGACTTTGCTATGATTTTTTTAACATATAACTTTTGAATTACCTGACCCCAGCTACTTTACTATGACTTGTAACTACCTTTTTCCAATCAGTCCATACAATGACTTTTTAAGTATGTGGGGTAATTTTCTGAAACGATCACCTAACAGATGCATGCTTGTGAACATCTTTTTTTAATATTAAAGTCCAAAATAATAGTTTGACTGGATAGCCCCTCTAATTAACCAAATTAGGTGCGTTTCCTTGCGTATAAAAAGACAAGAAAGTAATATATCGAGATGGATAAATAGCCTAAAACAAATTGAAACATAAAACAGTCTGACATTGACGACGAACGGGAAACGAAACCGGATGTAAACAAACCCGGAAGTGACCCGGAGATAGTGCTCTTGCTTCTCTTCTCTCCTCTCTGTGGCTGTCAGTATGGTCGTACCAGCGCCATACAGATATATGGCGCTGGGTCGTACCTATGGGTCGTACTGAAAGGAATCCCCTCTGTTTTGCTCTGGCTAAAATGGGCCATGGGCAAGGGCAGACTGGGACTTCAAATCAGCCCGGGACTCTCGACCGGCCCACCTCGGTACCGCAAGTAAAAATCGCTAGTAAATTGTCGACGGGGGGGTGCTAGTGATTTATCCGACCGGTCCACTTCAGTACCGGTGTTGCAGTATAACTTGAGTCATGACAACTGGCGACATTCTATTATTTTCGTCATAGGAATCCGGGGCGTGTACATTGAGGACCCATTAGGCGCATTCACACTGCGGTACTTTTCCCACAAAGGTTCATGTGAACTTAGATCATGTGAACTCTTTTATCGCGTTCACACCAAGCGGCAAACTGTGGGGTCGAGCCGGGAAGCCAATACGGAAGTGCCACACACTGCAGTTCATATATTGGCCGATAGGCGATGGCTGCAGAAAGGAGCAATTTCCATAGACCCCCATGTTAAAATGCCCAACTTTACAGCAGAAAAAAACATGTTTCTACCCCTGGCTCCATACATTTTATTATCGATATAGTTAGATTCCACCTTCATGATTATGGATCTGTGAGTGAATTGTTTTCTAACGCGACCCTTTTATTTATATTAGGTCTTAACGTTTGTGCATAAATTAGGGCGTGGTCACATTGAGTGACGGCTCTCTCAAGTGCCTGCCGCTGTTAGCTTCTTGTCTCTCTGCTAGCTGCTCCGTGAAGCTAGCTACAGGGACTCTGCCTGCTCAGCTCATCCAAGAAACACAACTTGTAGCCGGCCGTGGTTGTTTGTTCTTCATGCTTATATATCGGACTATTGTGACTCGCTCTGCGGTTAAAACAGACGGTGCATGAATGCAGTTTTGCGGTAAGTGAAATTCTAGTGCTTTATTTATGTGTTAATGATTTTAATCAGCTACGTAATGAATGGTAAGGCTTGGGTTAGCATGTAAGCTAGTGGTAGCTACATCGGTGCTAACGATTGTAATCGTAGCCTCCAAGTTAAAATCATAGACTGTATATATAAAGGTTACAACGAAATAGACAAGTGTTAAGTGGGATAATACTGTTGAACAAACGGCTTCTGTTTGAGGTTGATAAAATAAGGTTACATCCTTGTAACTTAGAGATATTTTATTATGTAGGTAGAACTGTATGCATCTAAGGTTAATTTAAATTGGCTATGCTCAAGTATGTAGACAAGCTAATGTGGAAGTAGTGTATGTGAAATCAACCTCACAATAAGATGTGTGTATATTACAATTATTAATGTCATATTTCAAGATGATTACTTAGATATTACAATATGGTTGGTTGAGCTGGAGTTCATTATTGAGCTTACACGTTAACGTCACAGTCATCTGAAGAACGAACCCAAACCTTGTTGTTTTTATTAATTGTATTACCAAATGGGTATCAAATAAACAGTAAGCATTGGTAACACAACTTCCAAAGTTACAGTAAAATAAAAAGGCCCCTGACTCGGACAATACACAATCCAACATGTTCAACAGAAGAGAATCAGTTATAGTGTTTGTACACATGGTACTTTACATATATATATATATATATGTTTCTTTAAGGTGTCCAGGTGATGCAGACAGGCTGGACTAGAGAGTGAGAGACAGAACTGGACTCCTCACAGCAGTGAACTTCAGCACAGGTACAAAGACTCTTTTTTTCATACTGTACAAAGAA